AATTCGACGCTGCCCTTCATTAGCAACTGTTACAACAGCAGCAACAGCTAAATCAGCAGCAGCGGCAGCTCGAACCAGGAGAAGTCATGGGCCTTCTTAATCAGCAGAAGAACCTTCTGGTTACAGCGTTCGAGGCGTGGATCGCAGCTACGAACGGATCTACGTCAACCGGGACAACTCACGGTTCCGCCACGGGTTCCGCCACGAGTGACAAGATTCCTGGTGTCCTGACGCAGCAGCTCGAGAATAACACGAAGATATACCGTGACGCGATTATCAAGCAGCTGAAAATGAAGACGAAGTTGGAGCGACTGAAGCAGATGTTCAACGACGGGAAGCTCCCCAAGAGTTTCAAATCAGCTCCGATGACCTACATGGGTAATGATTCCGAGGTGAAACTCGAAGGGGACGAAGAGTTTAAGCGTTTGGAACGTGGGTATCATAAGAGCTGCTTCAAAGTTCTGATCCGTCTACAGGAGAAGGAGCTGACGAAGTTTTCGACCAGCATCGACAATGCGGAGACGGATTTCTGTCACCAGCTGCAGAAAACACGCAACTTGGGATCTTCCGCGACGTTTGTGGAGAGCTTCAATGCGTGGGAACAACAACTGCGGACGAAGTTTGCGGCAGCCTCTAAGGAGATCGTCATGGAAGAAACGATGAAATATGTGGATCAACAGGAAGCAGCACAACGCGAAGTGCAACGGAAGATGAAAGTGAAGGCAATGGCTGAAACCATGGAGGTGGAATCCACTGTCCGAGAGATCATCGACAGCTCCAGCCTTAGTAAGAGGTTGGCTGCCCTGGAGAAACAGTTGGAGTCTAAACCGCAACAACAGCCAAAGCCACAGAAGCAACAGCAGCAGCTGCAGCAGCAGCAGCAGCAGCAGCAGCAACAGCCGCAGCAGCAGCAGCAGCAGCGGCAGCAACAGCGGCAGCAACAGTACCCGCAGCATCCGCAACACACACGTCCATCCAACTCACAGTGGCAGAACGGGCCACGACCATTCAACTCGCTGTGGCAGAACGGACCACACCCCCCTCCTTTTCCTTCCAACAACTACCAACCCTCTTCCCAGTGGACAGATTCATGGCAGCCGCTGGACAAATTGCCATCTGACCCCTTATACGAGCCAAAAAACGGGCCGGGATGGGGGAGGGGGAGGGGGAGGGGAGGACGAGGAGACAGGGGAAGGGGAGGACGAGGCAACGGCGGAGGACTCCAAGGAAGAGGAAATCCTTGGGGGCGGGGACAACAGCTTTAAATGACCGAGATCTGGCACTTCACTACTTTGAGAACATGACAGAGTCGCAGTTGAAGAGGAGAGTACGGAATAAGAGCATCTTCAATTTGAGCTCCAGACGCCTTTCCGTCCAGGAGGAGAAGGTACTCGGGCTTGGTCTGAACTTCATTCCAACACCAACACCGGCACAATACACCACTGATGCTGATCTTTTGTTAGGCTTTGATAGCTTTGCTAGAAGTTTGAGGTTGAGACATTTCTTTGGAAATTTGGAAAGAGAGAAGACTTTTAGAGTTCCAAATCCTAGCTGGGATGTTCCTTTGGAGAAACGTGATGTAGTGCTTGATACTATAGTGAAACAACACAAGGGTCTACTTCAGCAGGAATTGCTGGAAGTACAGCCCAAGAGATGGACGAACTTTCCTCCGCATTTGAGGAAAGCTCTGAAATATTTGAGTCACGACTCCTCCATTGTTGTTAAGCCTGCAGATAAGAATCTGGGCATAACTATCATGGATAAGGAGTTCTACAAGGGTCAATGTCTTCAGCACCTCAATAACAACGAAGTCTACAAACAGATTGATCGGGTTCCAATGGAACAAATCCAGTCAAGCTTTGCAAGGATAAAGACAGAGTTCTTGCCTTGTCTCCCTAAGAAAGTCTGGGACTTTATGGAAACACCTCCAAAGGCAGGCTGGAAACCAGCCTTCTTCTATATTCTACTCAAGATGCACAAAAAAACTCCTGTTGGAAGACCAATTGCTGCATCTCACTCTTGGGTTACCACGGTGGCTTCTAAGTGGCTGGATGGACAGTTACGACCTCTTCTTCAGAAGCAGAAGACTTACTTGAAGGACAGCATCTCTCTTCTTTTAGAGTTAGAGACACGTCAGTTTAGTTCTGATGTGATCCTATGCACGTATGATGTTCAGAGTCTGTATCCTTCTATTCCAATTCTAGATGGTATAGAGTCAGTAGATAGGCTTTTGTTTCGTGCACAACACTCACTTAGGCCACTGATAGTCCGACTCCTTAGATGGGTGATGCTGAATTCGTTTGTACAATTCGATAATGCTATATACCACCAGGTGCAAGGTACGGCCATGGGGACCCCGGTTGCTCCCGTCTTCGCCATCCTGTTTATGAGCTGGCTTGACGAGGAGTTATATCGGAAGGTATCTCATCTGCCCCTCATTCATTATAGGTACATTGACGACGGGATCATAGTTTGGGACCGGGGGAAAACAGAGCTGGAAGAATTTCTTACGAGATTCAACCTTCTCCGCCCAACCATCAAATTCACGTGGGAGATCAACAGCAACTCCATCGACTTTCTGGACTTGACTCTATACAAAGGGGAGAGGTTCCGACAGAGTGGCTGTTTGGACGTCAAGACGTTTCAGAAGCCCCTCAACAAATATTTGTACCTTCCTTTCTCCTCGTACCACTCGAGGCAGTGTAAGGCTGGTTTCATCTCAGGGGAGCTTAAGAGACACTGCCTCCGAAACTCCTCCGCCTTCGACTTCCTTGACAGGAAAATGGCGTTCTTCAATCGTCTTAAAGCTCGCGGGTACCCTGACTTCTTCCTACGGCCAATCTTCGACCGGGTGAAGTTCAAAGATCGTGGAACTCTGCTCAAGTCCTGCACACAGCCGAAAACGAGGGAAGCACCCCAGTCCTTGAAAGTAAGAAGATGCCCGAAAACCACGGGCTTGGGGCTGGGGAAACTTTTGAGAATTCTCAAAAGTCACTCCAATATAGCTGGCCTACAAATCCCTCCGGTTCTGGTGTGTTGGAAGTTACCTACACGGTTACAAAACCGTTTGGTTAGGGCTCGCTTCTCTACAGCGAATCCCACTACAACGGACTCACCTACTGTTTTGTGGTGAAGTTCCCTTGGGCCTTCGGGAATTTCTCGAGTGGTCCCATGCTGATCCAAGTTGGCAGCCTTGTATGGTTCGGGCAGATTTCGCCTGGGTTGTGGTTAGACCTCGGGAATTTGGGGGGTTGAGAGGATAACGGGAAGAAATGGTAGAAATGGGACTAGAAGGGTCTTGTTTGTAAACCTAACTGGCGCTGATGAAGGCCTCACAGGCCGAAACGCGTACGCCTACTTACTTTTACTTTGAGACTTATCAAGTCCTCATTCATACCTTTTTTCCTAGTCCTACGAAGCAACCCACTCATACTTAGCTGAAAAGTTCAACGGTGACCACACGGCTTGCTGCATTTCGAATCCTTCATTACTCCGCAGGAGATGCATCAGAGGAGGAGGAGATGCATCAGAGGAGGATGAGATGCATCAGAGGAGGAGGAGGTGCATCAGAGGAGGAGGAGGTGCATCAGAGGAGAGGAGGAGATGCATCAGAGGAGGAGGAGGTGCATCAGAGGAGAGGAGGAGATGCATCAGAGGAGGAGGAGATGCATCAGAGGAGGAGGAGATGCATCAGAGGAGGAGGAGATGCATCAGAGGAGGAGGAGATGCATCAGAGGAGGAGGAGATGCAGCAGGTGAATAGAGAAGAGGAGCAGAGAAGGGGCGAGAGTTGGCAGCAGCAGGGTGCAAGCTGTACCTACCCGAGGGTGCAAGCTGTACCTACCCGAGGGTGCAAGCTGTACCTACCCGAGGGTGCAAGCTGTACCTGCCCGAGGGTGCAAGCTGTACCTACCCGAGGGTGCAAGCTGTACCTACCCGAGGGTGCAAGCTGTACCTACCCGAGGGTGCAAGCTGTACCTACCCGAGGGTGCAAGCTGTACCTACCTTTAGCTGCCTTGTGCTGCCTCGCTCCTACCTCCCTCGCATGTGCTGCTGCTGGTGCTGTGAAGTGGTGGAGTGGTGCTGCTGCTGGAGGGGGAGTGGTGGTGCTGCTGCTGCATTGGAGGTGGCACCCGCAGTGACACCAGCGGTGGGAGTAGGGGAGAGCCATGCGGTGACACTACCGGTGGCAGCAACAGTGCAAGCAGAAAGAGAAGGCCAGCAGTGACACCAGCAGTGGCAGCAGCAGTGGAGGGGGAGTGGTGCTGCACTGGAGGGGGAGTGGTGCTGCATTGGAGGGGGAGTGGTGCTGCATTGGAGGGGGAGTGGTGCTGCATTGGAGGGGGAGTGGTGCTGCATTGGAGGGGGAGTGGTGCTGCATTGGAGGGGGAGTGGTGCTGCATTGGAGGGGGAGTGGTGCTGCATTGGAGGGGGAGTGGTGCTGCATTGGAGGGGGAGTGGTGCTGCATTGGAGGGGGAGTGGTGCTGCATTGGAGGGGGAGTGGTGCTGCATTGGAGGGGGAGTGGTGCTGCATTGAAGAGCAAAGAGCAAAGGAGCACGGTGGTGGATAACTATTCCCTGCCGATGGTGATTCTTTTTCTTATTGTAGTTGTTCTGTTTGTTCGAATAGATGTCGTTGCCTTGGTTTTGCATGTGCTCTGAGTGCCTTCTCAGGCACTGGGTGCAATCGGTACCTTGCACTTATCGGCCCTGAGTCATTCTCCTCCCATTCCACTGCAGGACGCAGAGGCGAGGGAGCAACAGACGAGACGGATCAGCAATGGAGATGCAGAGGAGACGGCTGCTACAGGTGATCAGAGGAGACGGCTGCTACAGGCGAGCAGAGGAGACGGGTGGACTGCCATGAGCGGGCCAGTGAGCTGTACCTACCTTTAGCTACCTTTTGCTACCAAGGAGCTGTGAAGGGGATGAAGCAGCTGTGAAGGGGATGAAGCAGCTGTGAAGGAGATGAAGCAGCTGTGAAGGGGATGAAGCAGCTTTTAAGGGGATGAAGCAGCTGTGAAGGGGATGAAGCAGCTGTGAAGGGGATGAAGCAGCTGTGAAGGGGATGAAGCAGCTGTGAAGGGGATGAAGCAGCTGTGAAGAGGATGAAGCAGCTGTGAAGGGGATGAAGCAGCTGTGAAGGGGATGAAGCAGCTGTGAAGGGGATGAAGCAGCTGTGAAGAGGATGAAGCAGCTGTGAAGGGGATGAAGCAGCTGTGAAGGGGATGAAGCAGCTGTGAAGGGGATGAAGCAGCTGTGAAGGGGATGAAGCAGCTGTGAAGGGGATGAAGCAGCTGTGAAGGGGATGAAGCAGCTGTGAAGGGGATGAAGCAGCTGTGAAGGGGATGAAGCAGCTGTGAAGGGGATGAAGCAGCTGTGAAGGGGATGAAGCAGCTGTGAAGGGGATGAAGCAGCTGTGAAGGGGATGAAGCAGCTGTGAAGGGGATGAAGCAGCTGTGAAGGGGATGAAGCAGCTGTGAAGGGGATGAAGCAGCTGTGAAGGGGATGAACAGAGGCATCAGAGGAGGGAGCACAGGTTGCAGCGAAGCAGAGTAGGAACACTCTCTTCTCTTGTGAGTTTCGAGAGACATCTCGAAACTCACTCTCAAAACTCTCCCTCCTCACTGCAGATTAGCTGAAGTGAGCAAAATCAGGGTTTTGGGAGACATTTCAAAACTGTTTTGCCCTTGGGCAGTTTGCTCTGTGTTCTCTCTCCCCCCCCAACAGGGTCACATAATAATTTCCACCTGCCCCTGGGCAGTATCCAGTATTCTTTTGTGTTCTGTCTCCCCCCCCAACAGGGTCACATAATAATTTCCACCTGCCCCTGGGCAGTTTCCAGTATCCTTTTGTGTTCTGTCTCCCCCCCCAACAGGGTCACATAATAATGTTCACCTGCCCCTGGGCAGTATCCAGTATCCTTTTGTGTTCTGTCTCCCCCTCCAACAGGGTCACATAATAATTTCCACCTGCCCCTGGGCAGTTTCCAGTATCCTTTTGTGTTCTGTCTCCCCCCCCAACAGGGTCACATAATAATGTTCACCTGCCCCTGGGCAGTATCCAGTATCCTTTTGTGTTCTGTCTCCCCCCCCAACAGGGTCACATAATAATTTTCACCTGCCCCTGGGCAGTATCCAGTATCCTTTTGTGTTCTGTCTCCCCTCCCAACAGGGTCACATAATAATTTTCACCTGCCCCTGGGCACTATCCAGTGTCCTTTTGTGTTCTGTCTCCCCTCCCAACAGGGTCACATAATAATTCTCACCTGCCCCTGGGCAGTATCCAGTATCCTTTCGTGTTCTGTCTCCCCTCCCAACAGGATCACATAATAATTCTCACCTGCCCCTGGGCACTATCCAGTATCCTTTTGTGTTCTGTCTCCCCCCCCCAACAGGGTCCCAAGCGATGGTTCCCACCTCACCGCGGTGCTTGGGTGTAACGTTGGGAGCTTGCTCCTGGCGGCCAAGAGGAACCCCCCATGCATACCTACAGCATGTAGTACACTAGTACAATCAATAAATATATATTCTGGATTATCAATTAGTTAATCTTAATTTGGATGTTCTGATTGAACTTTGCTAGACATTTACTTGGATACTAGTTAGTGCACATTCAATTGGATCATTATTATGGAATTTTATATGGTGCATTGTAGGTTCTAGCATGCAAAAACACACCCGATTCGTACCAGGGCAGGGTGCATGCAAAGAACATCTGGCATGAAGTATAGTACAGTCATTACTAGCTAGAACAACTGTCAGTTGGACAAATCAGAGGAACAGCAAGGACACACAGATGGCAGTGTGCAGTGCCTCTGGCAACTAGAAGGGCCCCTCCTGCCCTCCAGGGATCCTGGTAAAAAAAGGGTTCTAAAGCAACTAGAGGCACGAGACAAAGAGTTTATGTGTGGTTGTGCAGTGGAGGGAGGAATGGAGACAGTAATATCGTTTTCTCTCATGGTGATGTGCTTGATGAAGCTGCTGACCTTTCAACCTGGGCCATTTTTTCCCTAACTTAGAACCTGCTAGTCACTACTGCGTTCAGCATACAGCAAACACAACCCTTCACTCGAATGCATGAAGTTTTTACTGAGAAGCAGCCTCAATATCTGCTAGCCATAGGGTAACCCCACGCCTGTGTGCCTCGAGTCCTTCGACTTCGGCCATCTTGGCCACAGAGGGGCCCAGCAGCTGCAGGCCCGAGGCCGAGAGAGACTGCACGGTGATGTGCTTGATGCTGGCCCTTCACTTCAACCCTGGGCCATTTTTCCCCTAACCTTGATCCTGCCAGTCACTACCGCATTTTGATATGCAGCAAGCAGAATTCTGGTATTCTTTTCACTTGGAAGCAGCCTCAACATCAGCTAACCATAGGGTAACTGCACGCCTGTGCGCCTCGAGCCCTTCAACCTCGGCCATCTTGGCAACAGACGGACAAGCAGATGCAGGCCCGAGGCTGAGAGCGGCTGCACGGTGATGTGCTTGAAAAGGGCGTCGACCCTTCAACCTGGGCCATTTCTTTCTCCAACCTGTCAGTCACTAGAGCATTCGTTATTTAGCAAGCATTTTTTTTTTTTTTTTTTTTTTTTTTTTTTTGCGCTTGAACACATTCTTTTCACTGGGAAGCAGCCTCGATGTCAGCTAGCCGTAGGGTAACCGCACGGCGGTGCGCCTCAAGCCCTTCAACTTCGGCCATCTTGGCCACAGAGGGACCCAGCAGCTGCAGGCCCGAGGCCGAGAGTGACTGTACGGTGATGTGCTTGAAGAAGGCGTCGAGTGAGACACCGCCGTACATGCGAGCGTAGCCGTAGGTGGGCAGCACGTGGTTGGTGCCACTGGCGTAGTCACCCACACTCTCAGGGGTCCATGGGCCCAGGAAGACAGATCCTGGGGGCAGACATGGGGGTTGGATGGGGGAAAGGCGGATGGGGTGGTGTTGGGAGCTGCACGGTGATGTGCTTAAAGAAGGCGTCGAGTGACACGCCGCCATACATGCAGGCGTAACCATAGGTGGGCAGCACGTGGTTGGTGCCGCTGGCGTAGTCACCCACACTCTCGGGGGTCCATGGACCTAGGAAGACGGATCCTGAGAATTAAAGAGGAAAGGACAGGTATGGGGAATGGGATTTTGGGAAGGGGATGGTGTCGAGAGGAGGTTGACAGCACGTGGATTGCACAATCTCCTGTGCTCTGTGAGATTCCCGAGCACAAGCAGAGCAACGCGCCCCAGTACATGCAGGCATAGCCGTAGGTGGGCAGCACGGGGTTGGTGCCGCTGGCATAGTCTCCCACACTCTCTGGGGTCCATGGACCCAGGAAGACCGAGCCTGAGGGTAGGTTGGATGATGGAAAAATGGGTGTATGGGGGATGGAGGATGGGAGAGTGGAAAGGGGATGGTGTTAAGAGGAGGTCCATTGCGGATGAGTGGGAGGCAGTCCACAGCCTGTGCGGCGTTGATGCTGAGATGCTCGACTCATGCTTGCTTGACAGGGGTGACTGTGACGTGCCCAGATGGCACGTCACATGCATCCAGATGGCACGTCACATGCATCCAGATGGCACGTCACATGCATCCAGATGGAACGTCACATGCATCCAGATGGCACGTCACATGCATCCAGATGGCACGTCACATGCATCCAGATGGCACGTCACATGCATCCAGATGGCACGTCACATGCATCCAGATGGCACGTCACATGCATCCAGATGGCAAAGGTGAAGGAGGCTCACCAGCGTTGCGGATGAGAGGCAGGCAGTCCACAGCCTGTGCGGCGTTGATGATCAGATGGTGGGAGCGCAAGTCCAATGGAACCATACCTGACGGGAGAATTCATGACTAACACCAGGAGGCTCACGAGTGTTGCGGATGTCGGGCAGGCAATCAACCGCCTGGGCATTGTTGATGATCAGATGCTCGGGGAAACTAAGCCCACGGGATGGACCCGTGCTGCCACCCTTGGAATGGTCCCATGCTTGACTGTGATGGACATGCATTGTGAGGCAGCGGGAAATGCGGCTCACCAGCGTTGCGGATGAGGGGCAGGCAGTCCACAGCCCGTGCGGCGTTGATTATGAGATGCTCGGGGGCACGGGACCTATGGGATGGATCCATGATGGACATGCAATGTGAGGCAGCAGGAAATGGCCGAGGCTCACCAGCGTTGCGGATGAGGGGCAAGCAGTCCACAGCCTGGGCAGCGTTGATGATAAGATGCTCAGGGGCATAGCGGTTGGAGAAGAGACAGGCCTGGTGGGATGGGGAATATATGTGTGACGATATGATGGGCATATAGGCAAGGCCGCGAAAATGGTGGGACAGAGGGGTGTGTGGAAATGGCAAGACGGCATCGCAACAGCAGCACAGCACAGCAGCAGCAGCAGCAGCAGCAGCAGCAGCAGCAGCAGCAGCAGCAGCAGCAGCAGCAGCAGCAGCAGCAGCAGCAGCAGCAGCAGCAGCAGCAGTAGCAGCTGGTGATACTGTGATGAGCTGATGGGTGCAAAGCCGCATAGAAACAGCCGCCACATACGAGTGGCTCAGCACCTTGGCAGCCACATACGAGTGGCTCAGCACCTTGGCAGCCACATACGAGTGGCTCAGCACCTTGGCAGCCACATACGAGTGGCTCAGCACCTTGGCAGCCACATCCACTCTCACTCTCTTATTCAAACCTGTGATGCTATATGACAAGACGCCTCAATAACCGTCTCACCTCGTTAATATCAGCCGCCACCACCACATATGAGTGGCTCAGAGCTTTAGCAGCAACGTCCCCTCGGGGCAGCTCTCCCCGCTGGCGCTCCACCTCTGCTTCGATGGCTGCCAGATCCACCCCCTCGCCCACTGCCACCAGCACCACCTGACTGTCTGGCCCGTGCTCCGCCTGCCAGTGGTTGACAGGAGGTAAGAGAGGGACGGGGGGGGGGACAGGAAGGAAGAGAGTGAGAAGGGAGGACAGGCAGCTCCCCACCCCCCCTGTGCTGCCACTCCACCTATGCATTAATGGCTGCCAGATCCACCCCCTCGCCCACCGCCACCAGCACCACCTGACTGTCTGGCCCGTGCTCCGCCTGATGGGAAGGGAAGGAAGAGAGTGAGACGGGAGGGCAGGCATCTCCCCCCACTGCCCACCTCCGCTTCGATGGCTGCCAGATTCACCCCCTCGCCCACCGCCACCAGCACCACCTGACTGTCCGGCCTGTGCTCCGCCTGTTGGTGATTGAAGGAGGCAAGGGAGAGAGGGAGAGGGATTGGGGAAAGGCAGGAAACAAGTGAGTGAAGAGGGAGAACAGGCAGCTCTCCTCGATGTCGCTCCACCTCTGCTTCGATGGCTGCCAGATCCACCCCCTCGCCCACTGCCACAAGCACCACCTGACTGTCCGGCCCGTGCTCCGCCTGATGGGAGGGGGGCGGGAAGAGGGGAGGAAGTGGGAGAGGAGCAATCATCGAAAAAACTATCTCAGTTGGCTTTCTCTTGCCCACCGCCACAAGCACCACCTGACTGTCCGGCCTGTGCTCTGCCATCATTGCCATCGTGGGAAGGAAAAGCCGTCTCGTCAGCTATCACAAGCCTGGGCATGTCAGCTGGACATGTCACATACATACCCGAGTGCACTGGAATGGACTGAGAGCTGGACATACCTTGGAGAGCAGGTCAGCAGCGACGTGCGCTGGGCTGGCAGTCTCGTCCGCGATCACAAGCACCTCGGAAGGCCCGGCAGGCATGTCGACGGAGACCATGTTCTCACTCGTCTGCAGCGCCATCTTGGCTCAAAGAGCTCACTTGGGAGGGCAGAACGGCAGCTCACGCCTTACCTGGGAGAGCAGGTCGGCAGCGACGTGGGCTGGGCTGGCAGTCTCGTCGGCAATCACAAGCACCTCGGAAGGCCCAGCAGGCATGTCGATAGAGACCATGGCCTCGCTGGTCTGCAGCGCCATCTTGGCTGCTGTCACGTACTGGTTGCCGGGGCCAAAGATCTTGTCCACCTGTGTGGTGATGGGTGGTGATGAGCGAGTGGTGGTGAGTGGTGATAGGGCAAGGGGAGGAGAGGGGAGTGGCATGAGAGCAGCGCCATCTTGGCTGCTGTCACGTACTGGTTGCCGGGGCCAAAGATCTTGTCCACCTGTGTGGTGATGGGTGGTGATGAGAGAGTGGTGGTGAGTGGTGATAGGGCAAGGGGAGGAGAGGGGAGTGGCATGAGAGCAGCGCCATCTTGGCTGCTGTCACGTACTGGTTGCTGGGGCCAAAGATCTTGTCCACCTGCGTGGTGATGGGTGGTGATGAGCGAGTGGTGGTGAGTGGTGATAGGGCAAGGGGAGGAGAGGGGAGTGGCATGAGAGCAGCGCCATCTTGGCTGCTGTCACGTACTGGTTGCTGGGGCCAAAGATCTTGTCCACCTGCGTGGTGATGGGTGGTGATGAGCGAGTGGTGGTGAGTGGTGATAGGGCAAGGGGAGGAGAGGGGAGTGGCATGAGAGCAGCGCCATCTTGGCTGCTGTCACGTACTGGTTGCTGGGGCCAAAGATCTTGTCCACCTGCGTGGTGATGGGTGGTGATGAGCGAGTGGTGGTGAGTGGTGATAGGGCAAGGGGAGGAGAGGGGAGTGGCATGAGAGCAGCGCCATCTTGGCTGCTGTCACGTACTGGTTGCTGGGGCCAAAGATCTTGTCCACCTGCGTGGTGATGGGTGGTGATGAGCGAGTGGTGGTGAGTGGTGATAGGGCAAGGGGAGGAGAGGGGAGTGGCATGAGAGCAGCGCCATCTTGGCTGCTGTCACGTACTGGTTGCTGGGGCCAAAGATCTTGTCCACCTGCGTGGTGATGGGTGGTGATGAGCGAGTGGTGGTGAGTGGTGATAGGGCAAGGGGAGGAGAGGGGAGTGGCATGAGAGCAGCGCCATCTTGGCTGCTGTCACGTACTGGTTGCTGGGGCCAAAGATCTTGTCCACCTGCGTGGTGATGGGTGGTGATGAGCGAGTGGTGGTGAGTGGTGATAGGGCAAGGGGAGGAGAGGGGAGTGGCATGAGAGCAGCGCCATCTTGGCTGCTGTCACGTACTGGTTGCTGGGGCCAAAGATCTTGTCCACCTGCGTGGTGATGGGTGGTGATGAGCGAGTGGTGATGAGTGGTGATGAGCGGTGATGAGTGAGCGGTGATGAGTGGTGATGAGTGGTGATGAGTGGTGATGAGTGGTGAGTTAAGGGGAAAAGAGAGGCAGGCTAAATGGAGAGCCCAGACCTTGGAGAGGCAGGTAGGGGTATGCAGTGCCATAGCACAAAGAGCGCAGCATTCCTGGAGTGCACGGCTTACCTTGGATAGGAGTAGGGGCATGTCCAACCATGCTGCAGTGCATGGCTTACCAGCACCAAGAGCGCAGCATGGCTGGAGTGCATGGTTTAACCTTTGGTAGGAGTAGGGGCATGTCCAGTGCCATGAGATATAGCGCCATACCTTGAAGCATGGTTGGTCAGAGAGCAAGGCTTACCTTGGGGCAGGTGGCTGTGCCCCATGCCATGGCGGCAACAGCCTGCATGCACCATGGGAACGAATGACAGTGGCAAGGCGTGGGGGGGAAGGGATGGGGGGCAAGGGTGAAAATAAAATAGAAACAACGACTGATATTTTCTACCTTTCTACCAACACTCGAGGGAGGAGAAGAACCCACTGCTCCGTTTCCCTGCCCTCCCCTCTCTATTCTTCTTCCTCGTCCTCTAACTCTCCCCCTCCCTCTCACTCTTCGTCCTCTAGACTCGTTATAAGCACACACGCGCACACACCTGGGCCCCTCCTGCCTTGAGAATGTGAGTGGCCCCTGCCTTCTTGCAGCAGTACAGCACCTCCTGGAAAATAACGAGGGGGGTGAGGAAGAAGATGCGAAACACGGAGAGTTGCAAGGAGGAAATGCGAGTGTGAGACTGTGAGAGGTGCCAGCCTTCTTGCAGTGAACATTCGCTTGCTGTACAGCAACTCCTGGAGTGTGGCAAGGGGGGAAGGAAGAAACCACCTTCCTTGTGGGTGATGCGGGGTTCATAACGGTTCTTAGTCCAAGAGAGTGCAGGTGAGAGCAGAAACTACATCAGTACGATGAATCAACGGGCAGAACAAAAAACTTACCGGGCAGATTGAACCATCAGGGCGGGGAGGAGTGGCGACCACCACAGTGGTGCAGCCTGCTATGCCTGCCGGCTGGGAGGTGGAGTGGGGGGGCGATGGATCGAGCGGCAAGAGCGAGGGGGGTTGGATGCGACAGAGAGATGGAGCGAAGCTAGAGGGGCTGGGAGAGTGGCGACCACCACAGTAGTGCAGACTGCTATGCCTGCCGACTGGGATGAGGGATGGGGTGATGGATTGGGGATTTGAGGGGAAAGGGGAGGGATGGGGAGGAGCGATGGAGTGAAGTTGGACGAGGGTGGAGGGATCATAACCACAGTGAGGGGTGAAGTTAGAAACAACAAAGCTGTCCCTTTATGCATATCCCACGTTTCCTATAAGTGACTCTAATCCCTTTCCATATCCCCACTCTCTCACTCCTTGGCTCCCTTACCTGCTCGCACGCTCCGTCCCTCCGCCGCTCCCTCTGTGACCTGTACTCACCACAGCGAGCATGAGAGCAGTAGAGGGTAGCACAGCGGTACCTCCAGGCACATACAGCCCCACTCGCTCTATGGGCCTCGCCACTCGCCCACACACCACGCCCTGATGGTTGAGAGAGGGGAGGGGGATGGCAGGGGGGGGCGTACGGCATGGGAAAAAGCCAATGGAGGTATTTGTACCGCCCCACTCACTCTATGGGCATCGTCACTCGCGGCTCGCCCACACACCACACCCTGATGGTTGAGAGAGGGGAGGGGGATGGCAGGGGGGGGCGTACGGCATGGGAAAAAGCCAATGGAGGTATTTGTACCGCCCCACTCGCTCTATGGGCCTCGTCACTCGCGGCTCGCCCACACACCACACCCTGATGGTTGAGAGAGGGGAGGGGGATGGCAGGGGGGGGCGTACCGCATGGGAAAAAGCCAATGGAGGTATTTGTACCGCCTCACTTGCTCTATGGGCCTCGTCACTCGCCCACACACCACGCCCTGCCATTTTAGAGAGGGGGGGAAGGGGCGGGGAAGGGTGAGACAGACGGGAAAAAGACAAGGGAGGGGTTCTCGTGGTTCTTTCTCATAGAGCTTCTCTCGATTCTATAAGCCTCGCCGCCACTCGCCCCCACACTCGCCCACCTGCCACCTTCTCTTCCTCCCTCCCTCCCTCCCTCCCTCTCTTTCTCACTCCCCCACTCCTCCCCTCCCCCCTCCTCCCCCCTCACCGGCATGGTCTCCACTTGGAACGAGCTGGACGGCATCTGCGCCAGGTGGAACCTTATAAATCAACTAGGAACCGTCCTCACCCACCCTTCTCCCCACCCTATCCTCTCCTCTCCCCTCCTCTCCTGATTCGCCTCGCTTCTCACCGGCATGGTCTCCACTTGGAATGAGCTGGACGGCATCTGCGCCAGGTGGAACTTGTGGATGTTGCTGAACGCCACGTCAAACGCTGCTGCCACGTCAGCAGGCAGCTGGAAATATGTGAGAATGGGTGGAAATGAGCGTGGGGAAGGGGTCGAGGTGTTATAGTCACAATAGGCTTGAATGTGCCTAAAACGAAAGATAGAGAGCACAGACGGATTTCTGCACAGCGGCTTCAAACGTTGATAGCGTTCTGCTTACAGCTGCAAATGACTTGATTCAAATTGGATCTGGAGCGTCTTCACGTCGTCTACAATTAGCAATTTAGATTGCACGATTTGATAAAGAATTGACGACACAGCGTCGGTTTGAACGAACGGTACTATGGCAGCCACTATAGTCTTAGAACACAAGATAGGAAGAGTTACGAGTTGGGAATGACTCCCAGCTCCTACAAACCCCAAGAGCCGAGGTACAGTGATGTGTAACAGTGCCACACTGTCCCCAACCACGAAGGGTCTCGAAACTACCCTTCACTAGGGCCTACACCAAGTGAAATGTTACACTACACAAAGTAATGTAACTATCTTCAATATCTTGAGGTGTACCCTTTTGGCGAGCTTCGAAATCACTTGAGGCTTGACACCAAGGCTCGGGCTCTTCATCACAAACTCATCCTTGAGTTCTTGATGGGTCTGCTGCACACACCTGCGACACGCCGAACGTTCGACACAGGACAAAATAGAAACCGCGCACGACAAAATAGAAACCGCGCGCGAGACACAAACGACCGCGTAACACGCGTCTAGCGATAACTCGCTATTGACTCGACACACACACTCGACATCATGACTCAACATTCACACACAATTATAAGCATGAAATATATATTATCCCATGCCCTCATACCATTCCATACACACACACATTCACGCACACGGACAACAAGCCGAGTGCAAACCGTAGGGTTGCACCAACAAACTCCCCCTCGGATTGTTGGCCTTAGGATATGTTGCTCTCTCAGTTCAGAGCCATCCCAGCCAGCTTGCAACACTTCCAATGCTGCTGCTCCACCAGCCTCTTGGTCATCATGTCAGCCGGCTGCCCCGTGGTCTTCACGTAGCGCAACTCAACTTCACCCGCGGTTACCATGCTCCTCGTCCAATGCCACTTCACCCTCATGTGCTTCGTGAGTCCATGCAACACAGGGTTCTTAGCAAGAGCAATGGCACCCTGGCTGTCACAGTACAGTGGGGTAGGTCCTTGCTGTTCCTCCCCCAATTCAGCCAACAAACGCCGCTGCCACACAATCTCCCGTACGGCACGGAAGAGTGCCATGTACTCGGACTCCACCGAGCTCAAAGCTTGGTCAACCTGCTTCTTGCTCTCCCAAGCAGTTGGGCCTCCACCAACACAGCATATGAAGCCTCCCACACTTGTCATGTCCTCTGGTTCTGATGCATATGAAGCATCCGAGTAGGCGGTGAGGAACAAACGCCCGGGTTCAACACCATCCGCGCCCTTTTGGCGCCTTTGTGCCGCCGCCGAGTATTGCAGCCCAACGGTCGGTGTTTGGCCAAGATACTTGGCCACCCTCATTCCAGCTGCTACCTGCTCCTCATTAGGGCATTGCACAACCCTAGCCAGCTGCCCGGTAGCAAACGCGACGTCCGGTCGGGTGTTTACCGCCGCATACATGAGGCTGCCCACCAACGAGTGAAATCGGCGCCTCTCCTCTTCACCAACGCTCTCCTCCTCTGGTCCCTTCACACACTTGAACCCAGAGGGAAAGGGTGTAGCCACATGGCCTTCACTCTGCCCAAAGTTGGCAGCCAATGCCTCCAGGTACTTTCGTTGATGCACCCGCATGCACCGCTTCTCCACATCTCGTTCGATGTGGAGCCCAAGGTAGAAGCTCACGTCACCAAGGGCCTTGCACTTGAACTTGTCTTGAAGCTTCAGCATCACCTCCTTCACAAGGTCAGAAGAGGGTGAGAAAATGAGGATGTCATCCACATAAACCACCATGAAACTCCTCTGCTCCCCCTCGCCAAGCATGAACAAGGAGTGATCGGCCGTTGAGGGAGTGAAGCCGATCCCCTCCAACACTTCGCGCAGCTTCATGTACCATTGCCTAGGGGCCTGCTTCAGCCCATAGAGGGCCTTCTTCAGCTTCCACACTCTGCCACTACCATCATCAAACCCCTCTGGCTGCGCCATAAAAATCTCCTCCTCAAGGATGCCGTTAAGGAATGCCGTTACGATGTCCATTTGCTTTACTACCCATCCTTTGATGGCGGCTCCCGCGAATAGGGTTCGCAGCGTCGTCGGCTTCACCACAGGGGCAAACAGCTCCTTGAAGTCCACCTTCTCCTTCTGCTGGTACCCCTTGGCTACAAGCCTAGACTTGTAGCGCTCGATCTTGCCGTCGGCATCCGACTTGATTTTGAAGAGCCACTTGGACGTTATCGCCGTACGCCCCTCCGGTAGCTCCACCAATTCAAACGTGTCATTCTCCTCAATGCTCTTCAGCTCACTCTCCATGGCCTTCTTCCACTCCTCAGCATCACTACTCTCCAAAGCCTCCTTGAGAGTTGCTGGTTCTCCCGGCATCTCCACCGGAGAGAAGAACGCGAAGGCACACTCCTCGTAGTCACTCTCCTCGTCGTCTCCGACCATCATTGCCGCTCCGGCCAGGGCTGTCTTGCCCTGCTTTCCCGGCGCATCATAGGTCAGCCTATTAGGGGGTTGAACTCTCCTCTTCCCCCTTCCTTCCTCCTCAGCTGCAGGGACTTGAAGGCCTTGGCGTTGCTGCGGTGTGGCTCGAATCCGTGGAGCACTCGTAGTACGGGAAGGGAGTGACGGTGCACGCTCGCTCACTTGCTGCACCTCCTCCTCTTCTTCCTCTGCATCATTGGCCTCCTCTCCCCCATTCACAAGGGAGGATTGCCTTGTGGTTGTGCTGCCGCTGCTCAGCTCCAAAGGCAGCTCCACATGCTCCAAACCGGAACTCTTCACCTCCCCAAACCGCACGCCTATCTTCGCCTCATTCTCCGCCTTCCAATCCTTGTACATGAAGTTCTCCATGAACTTGCAGTTCCTGGTCACCAAGAACTTCTTGGTGAATGGGTCCCAAAGAAGCCATCCCTTGCTGTTTTGAGCCATGCCCAAGTGCACGGCCCACACCGCCTTGGCACCAAGCTTGTTGTGCCGAAGATGCTTAGGCACGAGCGCCATGCACATGCACCCGAACACCCGAAGCATATCCACCTTTGGCTTCCTTCCTAGCCACTCCACATAGGGCACCCATTTGTCTGCTCCCACATGAGTCAAGGCTCTGTTCTTGGCCACACACGCGCTCCGCACCGCATCAGGCCAGAAATAGTCGGGTAGCCCGGCTTCAATGAGCAACCCGCGTGCCGCCTCCGTGATTGTGCGGTTCGCTCGCTCGGCGATGCCGTTCATTGCAGGGGAGTATGGCATGGTGAGGGAGTGCCGAATACCATTCTTCTTCAGCCACAACCCAAACTCCTTGCTCAGGAACTCTCCCCCTCGATCGGTGCGGATTGACTTGACTAGACGGTCTTGTTGCCGCTCCACCATCGGGAACCAATCCGTCTTCAACGTTTCAGCCACGTCGCTCTTCTTGGCCAGCACGTACACCCAAGTCATGCGGGTGTAGACGTCGACAATGGTGAGAAAATACTCAGCTCCAGCAGCTCCAAGCTTCAGGGGGCCCACCACGTCCATCACCACCTCATCAAGCGGTGCCTTTGCCGTTGCCTCCGAACTAGGGAACGGAAACCGGGTGAACTTGGCTTGAATGCACGTCGGGCAGCCAAGCACCTCATCGGGCTCCCCCTTCACACGTATGCCAGCAACCATCTCATTCTTCACTAGCTGCTGCAAGATGGGCAGGGCCACATGCCCCATGCGCCGATGCAAGGTGAGCCAATCACACTCCCCCGTAGCCGAAGTTGGATTGGAGAATGCCGCGCTCGCAATAGCGCCCCACATACTCTCTCCGTAGTCCTCCTCCGCTGCTGCCTCTGGGTTCTCCTCACCCTTTTGCTGCTCCTTGGTTGCTGCACCACTCTCCTTAGGTTCACTGAACTTGCTGGTCCCTCCAGGTTTGCTCTTCTTGAGCTCATTCTCCTTAGCGCGGCCGTTCGCGCCATCGTCGCTACCGACCGCTCCATCCTTGGTGCTGATGCTTGCTGCCACTTGCCTCTCCTTAGGCATAGGGACCACTGGGATCTGCCACATCTCGTTGTAGACATCCCTGTCCTCATGAAGGTCCCAAAGAATTCGATCGCCAAGCCTTGCGGTGTAGGTCTTGGCTCCCTTCGAGTTCGTGTCCATGCCGGCCTTTGCCAACCGCCGCACGCAAATCAGGTTTGCAGCAAGGCTGGGCACCCAAAGCACGTTCTTGAGGCCCACCATCTTCCCATCAGCACCCTTGAACATGGCCTTGCCCATGCCTTTCACCTCTGCTCGCTGCCCCAAAGCCGATGTGACATGCTTCACCGGTGACGGCTCGAGTTCGGTGAGCAAGTCCGGGCGAGGTGTCATGCTATAGGTAGCGCCACTATCAATCACCCAATAGTCCAGGGGGTGTAGGGTCACCTTCCCCACAGCTGCTGGCTCCTCAAAGCCTTCATCCTTCTCTGGACCAGCCGGTACTTGCGTCGACACGAAGTAGAATAGACCCGGGTATCGATCGTCGCTCGGGTCCTTGTCGTTGTCTCCGCTCTTCATGTTTGCAGCTCCGCCACCGCGACCGCCACGGCCTCCACGGCCTCGTCCTCTCCCTCCTCCTGCTCCTCTACCCTCTTGGCCTTGAGCAGGGGTCCAACCATCAGGGAGTTTGTAGCAGTCGCGCCACATGTGTCCGCTCTTGTGGCAATAGTGACACTCGCCGTCGAATCGGCCGCGACCGCGTCCGTAGCTCTTGTCGTCGCTGCCGTAACCGCCACTCCTGCGGCCTCCGCCGAAGTTGCTGCCACCAAACCTTCCTCCCCCTCGTCCTCTGCCTCTTCCTCGACCATATCCACGGCCGATGCTCGCTGCCCCAGCGCCATCCGCACTCGCCAACTCACGGCGGCGGAAATCCTCTTGAAGGATAGCTCGCTTCACGTCTTCAAGCGAGAGGCGGGGCAAGTCGCGATTAAGGTTGATGATGAGCGAGGACCATGACTCTGGGAGTAAGGCCAGCAACTTGGTCTTCTTTTGGAGCTCACTGTAGTTCAAATCAGCTCCCTCAAGCCGCGTCAACAAGTCGAAGAATTTCTGCACCCCTTCTTCAACCGATTCGTCTTCTTCAATTCGTAGTGCCGCCATTTGCCGTTCCAACACCACCGCTACCGCCGCTGTTGCAGGAGCATGTACACCCTTGAGAGCAGCCCATGCCTTTGGTCCTTTCTCTGGTTCACGCTGGAATGGCTTGATGTGACGGATCTGACTGCTCCCCAACGCTTGCCCAAGTAAGAGATAGCCTTGTGCGCTCTTCCGCACCCACGGGCTCTTCTCCGGGTCGTTCTCGGGGCGCTTCTCCGTTCCTTCCATCACCTCCAGCAGGTCATAGTGGTCAAAGATGTTCTCCATCTTGAAGGACCATTCAGCAAAGTTGTCACCGTTGAACTTGTCAAGCCCAAACACCCTAGGCTCATCCCTAGGTGGGCCAAGACTTGGTTGCATGGGCGCCATGGCTGAATCACGGGGTTGGCCTTGAGCTTGAGCTTCTCCACTGCCACCAGCACCTCTGCCACCCCTTTCCTCAGGTCCAGACATTGTCGAAACTGCTCCAAGGGCTCTGATACCACTTGTTATAGTCACAATAGGCTTGAATGTGCCTAAAACGAAAGATAGAGAGCACAGACGGATTTCTGCACAGCGGCTTCAAACGTTGATAGCGTTCTGCTCACAGCTGCAAATGACTTGATTCAAATTGGATCTGGAGCGTCTTCACGTCGTCTACAATTAGCAATTTAGATTTCACGATTTGATAAAGAATTGACGACACAGCGTCGGTTTGAACGAACGGTACTATGGCAGCCACTATAGTTTTAGAACACAAGATAGGAAGAGTTACGAGTTGGGAATGACTCCCAGCTCCTACAAACCCCAAGAGCCGAGGTACAGTGATGTGGAACAGTGCCACACTGTCCCCAACCACGAAGGGTCTCGAAACTACCCTTCACTAGGGCCTACACCAAGTGAAATGTTACACTACACAAAGTAATGTAACTATCTTCAATATCTTGAGGTGTACCCTTTTGGCGAGCTTCGAAATCACTTGAGGCTTGACACCAAGGCTCGGGCTCTTTATCACAAACTCATCCTTGAGTTCTTGATGGGTCTGCTGCACACACCTGCGACACGCCGAACGTTCGACACATGACAAAATAGAAACCGCGCACGACAAAATAGAAACCGCGCGCGAGACACAAACGACCGCGTAACACGCGTCTAGCGATAACTCGCTATTGACTCGACACACACACTCGACATCATGACTCAACATTCACACACAATTATAAGCATGAAATATATATTATCCCATGCCCTCATACCATTCCATACACACACACATTCACGCACACGGACAACAAGCCGAGTGCAAACCGTAGGGTTGCACCAACACGAGGTAGAGGAGAAGAGGCGGAGAGCGGGAGGGAAGATGGGAGGTAGGGGTGGAATTGAGAGAATGACTTGGGAGGTGAAGGTGGCATCAAGATATCTGTTTACAGAAAACAAGAATGTAGGTGGATATCAAAGGCAGGTTGAGGGGGTGTAAAGATGGGGGGGAAACGGGAAACAGTCGGGAACAGGTGGAAAACGGCAGGGAGAGTGCGAGAAATAGGACGCAGAGGAAGGGGTTTGAACTGAACGGAGGCAGCGGATAACAGTGATGGTTGATAATTGAAATGAAGAGTAACTTCCGCGTACCTCAGGGTCAGGCAGCTCTGCCACTCTGACCACCACGTCATCCAGTTTGACTCGGTCAAACCTCTCCGTGTACCTGATTGGTGGACGCAGGGAGAAGGGGGAGACGGGGTTGAAGAACGGGGGGAGAAGGGGGGAGAAGTGGGTGGAGAAGGGGGGAGAAGGGGGTGGAGAAGGGGGAAGAAGGGAGTGTGTTACGGATTAGCAAGCTAGGGAGGGGTCGAGGAGGAGAGAAGGGTATGGGGATCGGCAAGTTTCAGACGAATTTTAAGCAAGAGTTAAGAGCTGTGAGATGGGGGACGGGAAGGTGGTCTTGGTTAGGGTGGGGAGGTGGTTGTGGGAGCTGCGGAAGAAACAGCTTATTTGTTTGAAAAAAAAACACGGAAGGTTCGGACACAACATTGGAGGGGATTACAGAAGCCAGCAGAAAATGGCCTAGAATGTGCTTACAGAGTGGCGAGCTACAGTACGTACTCTTTAACAGCTTCATCGCCCCGTTGCCGCACATCCTCCACTATTGGGCCCACCTGGAGTGGAAGGAGAGCAAGAGGGGAATGGAGCGTGGTGGTGGGGGAAGGGGAGGAGGCAGAAAGTTAGTGGCTCTGGGAGACTGGGATTAAAAGGGTATTGGGGGGGAGGGGGGTTGAGGTGGGGGGATATAGGGGATTGGCGGATTGAGGATGGGAGGTGAATATCGTTGAGGTTACAGGAAATCCTTACGGAAGAAACATCGGAGGAAGGTTCCTACCGTGCTGAAGATGGAGGTGAAGTCTATGCGTGGCCTGGTGAGCAGCTGCGCCACGTCATCCTCTGCCAGGTCAGCGAGCCGGAACACGCGTAGGCCAGTGGCTGGCGACGAGACGGCAGCGGCTGCTGGCACGGTAAGCAGGAAAAAGGAACGGGAGAGAGGGAGGGGGGAAGGAGAGAGAGTGAGGGAGGGATAGAGGAGGAGGACGAACGGGGTGAGGGGGGGTAAGGATCGGCATGCGTGGGGGTTCCTTATGAATCGTGCAGAAAACATGCCCGTGGCGAATCCGAAGCCTGAAAACAGGCCGCTGCGGGTAGAGAAAACCAAACGACATGTATCGGACGGCCGTTTTCACGTGATCTTTGATTCGTTGACGTTTTTACGCAGTGCAGCGGCGTCGCGCTTGCTACGTCAACCACCCACGCGGCGCCCGAACGATTCGTGTTGCGTGTAACCCTAAATCTCCGCAACCCGAGCTCTTGGTAAGTATTCAGCTCTCCCGCAATGCAGCTACGACTTGAGAATCCCCTTTTGTTGATGCGGAATCAGCAAATTTGTGCATTTATAAGCAGGTAGCTCATTCAATAAGAAAGCACTAACCGGCCGTTTGCGACGCCTCCGCCATGCACTTGATCGTGCTGACGCTGCTTCGACTTCTTGACACGTTAGCAGCAGTCGGAGACGATCGCAGGCTAAGGCCGTGTGACCAATCAGCGCGCGCGGATGCGAGAATATTCGCGGAACGCGCCGATCCAGCTGATCCGGCAGCAGCTGGGAGTGTAGTCGAAACAGCTACGATGCTGGAGGTGTTGGAAGGAAACGGTGGTGGGGCGGTGGTATGCCCCCAACCCACCGAGGGCACTTCGGTGCCTTCGATCCCTTTGACTAGGGATCGGTGGTGTGGCACCGATTGACTTCGGGAGACTCACCCTTCGGTGCCACGTGGCGGCACCACATTCCAACCTTCAAGTGCAAGGCGAATTCGGTGTGTTCGGTGTGAAATTCGGTGGTCGAATTTCACCCCAACCGAAATGTTACATGCGGCGCATTCGCGACGCGAGTGTAGCGATGTGATGTTACATGTGCGGTTCGATGTAATGCATTTGCTATAAATCGACCTGCCTTGTATGCATGCTTTATACTGAAATCCTGAATCTTCTTGTACATGGTCCATTCGAACCAAAATTCCAGAGAGGTCTATCCTTGCTTCTAAGAGCACTAGCAATCACGTGAACGCCAATATCTCGGCGTATACTTGGGCGATTAACGTGTTTGACGGCTTGTTGGAAAGCCAAGACTGTGCTCTATCGTTTAGTGCAACTTAGAGTTCCTGCAAAGTAGAGGAGACGCCTCTACAACAGTGGTATCAGAGCTGGTCGGTAGAGTCTACGTGCGCGACTTGTAGCAAGCATGATGACGTCAAGCGAAACCTCCGGCACTTCCTTAGGTGGTGTCGTCTCGAATCCTGGCGAACCCTGGACAAACACGACGGTGTTCGACACGTCGGCGGTTCCGATTTTCACGGGACAAAACTACTCCGCGTGGAAATTTAAGTTCCAAGTGCTCATGATGGAGCGGGGACTTTGGGGTTGTTGGAGATTACGTGTGTTGGAAGCAAGGTGGTGGTGGGGCGTTTGTATGCCCCCAACCCACCGAATGTGTGACTTGTGCTCACCTTCGAGTGAGTTGCAGGTTTGCGTGGGGTTGAGGATTGACTTCGGAAGACCCATTCGATTCGGTGCCACATGGCAGCACCAGGAACATTCGAGACCCAAGAAGAATTCGGATCGGTGAAATTCGAGAGTCGAATTTCACCCTTTCGATGTTACTCGAACATTCGCGAGTGTAGCGGTTCGAGGTTACTTGTGCGATTCGATCTTGTTTGCATGCTATAAATCTGTTTTCTTTGTATTGCATGCCATCATAGTGAAACTCAGAGTTCTTTGTACAAGGTACATTCGAACACAAATTCCAGAGAGCTTCTTTACTTGCATTCAAGAGCACCACCTAGCACGTGAACGCCTATATCTCGGAGAATACTTAGGCGATCGACGTGTTTGATGGCTCGTTGGAAAGCTAAGACAGAGCTCTATCGTTTAGAACAACTCCCAGTTCCTGCAAAGTAGAGGAGAGTCCTCTACAACAGTGGTATCAGAGCTGGTCGGAGGAGTCTACGCGCGCGACAAGGAGCACGCATGATGACTTCAAGCGAGGCCTCCCGCACTTCCTTGGATGGTGTCGTTGTAAATTCCGGCGAACCCTGGGCAACCGCGACGATGTTCGACACGTCGGCGGTACCGATTTTCACGGGACAAAACTACTCCGCGTGGAAGTTTAAGTTCCAAGTGCTCATGATGGAGCGGGGACTTTGGGGTTTCTTCGATGGAACGGAGAAGAAGCCGGACGATGAGAGCGGCATCGCGGCATGGAAGAAGAAGGACCAAAAGGCGTTCGCTACGTTGATTTCGCGCATCGGCATCAATCTCGTGAGCTCGGTGCGCATGTGCATCAAGCTCGAAGCGTCGGCGCATGAAGCGTGGAAGCGGCTCGAGACCATCCACGTAAACAAGACTCTCCACGGCAAGATCCTAGCCCGGAATGCGTTCTACACGGTGAAGATGCGCGCGGGCGAATCGATGCACGAGTTTGCGACTCGTGTGGAGGAACTCGGGGAAACGTTCATGGACCTCGGTGGAACGATCACGGAGGAGGATTGGATTCTCACCTTGCTTTGCGGCCTTCCGGAAGAGTGGTCGACGGTGATTACGACACTCGATAGCGTGCAAGACACTTGGACGAAGGAAATGGTGGTTGGTCGGCTTCTCCATGAAGAATCGCGTCGCCGACAATTCGCTAATGAGAGCGAGGGTGCCGCCATGTACTCCGGAGGTAGTTCCGGAAAGAAGTCCAAGTGGAGCAAGGACGCAACGAAGGAATCGTCCGGTGGGAGCGAGCATCGCGGCAAGTGTCACTATTGCCGCAAACCGGGACACTTTTGGCGTGAGTGTCGAAAGCGGCCGAGCGATTGGACTCCATCGATGGCGCGGGACCAAGAGGGCAACGCGCACACGGCATCCGGCGAGGCCGATGATTCAAAGGAGTCGCTCGTGTTAGTGGCCGGCAACGGGAACAAAACTCCAAGCGACGCGTGGTTCCTCGATACCGGCGCAACGCAACACATGACGCACTCGGCGTCGCTCCTCAACAACATTGGCGCTCCGGGAGACGTCACGAGCATCGTGTTCGGAAACAACGAATCGCTACCGGTGGTCGGAGTTGGGAGTACGCGCCTCATCGTCGATAGCGGTCCGGTGGACGTGACGAACGTGTTTCACGTCCCGGGGGTGAAGGTGAACCTTCTATCCGTCCCGCAACTTGCGAAGAAGGGAGTGATCGCCACGATCGACGGCGCGAACATGAACCTTTTTTGGAAGGGGAAGCAATTCGCACAAGGCGTTCTCAACGGAGAACTCTACCAACTCAAGACGCACCCGGGAGCGGCTTCATCCAACGTGGCGCAAGGTTCCAAGGCGACTCTCAAGGCGTGGCATAATCGACTTGCGCACGCCAACTACGACTCGGTCAAGGAGTTAGCCAACAAAGGACTCGCGAAGGGAGTCGACGTGATCGCCGGCGACGACGAGAAGGGCGTGTGCGCGGCGTGTGTCGAAGGAAAAATGGCTCGCAAGCCATTTGGGAGCCGAACGTCACCCCTCGCTAAGGACCCGCTTGCGCTTGTTCACATGGACGTGTGTGGACCGATGCGGCATGCATCAAAGGGAGGAGCGCGGTTCCTCTTGGTAATGCTCGACGATGCGACGCGGATGTGTTGGACCCGACTTTTGAAGGCTAAGGGAGATGCGGCCAAGGCGATTCAAGAGTGGGCGCTCGAAGTTTGCGACGATGACAAGAAGCGGATCAAGTGTATTCGCACCGATGGTGGTGGCGAATTCGTGAATGCGGAGCTCGAGAAATGGATGAAGTGCAAGGGCATTAAGCACGACGTCACAACACCCTACACACCCCAACAAAATGGAGCGGTGGAGCGGCTTAATCGCACGTTGGTGGAAGCCGTTCGTTCTCTTCTTCAACACTCCAAGCTTGGGAAAGAGTGGTGGGGCGAGGCGAGTTCGCTAGCGGCGTGGATTCGCAACCGTTTGCCGACGAAGGTGCTCCCGGGAATGACTCCGTTCGAAGCATGGACCGGAACGAAGCCGAACCTATCCCGCCTTCGCACCTTTGGGTGCCTTTGCTACTACCATGTACCGGATCCCCTTCGCCACAAGTTGCAACCGAAGGCTCGTGCGGCGATCTACTTGGGAATTGCGGCGAACGAGCGTGCGTGGCGAGTGTGGGACTTGGGCGACAAGTGCGTCGTCACGTCTCGGGACGTGGTCTTCGATGAAGACAAGTTCCCGTCGAAGGAGAAACCCACTCAACAACTCACCTTCATCCTTCCGCCACGAGAGGAGGTTGAAGAGAGTGAGACTCCACCTCAAGTGGAGAAGGAAGCCGATGGAGGGGGAGCGAACAACGAGGAGAGCATTGATGATGTCGTGGAGGTGTCACCAACCGAGGCGGCAACTACCTCCACACCTTCCTCCCTACCATTGGCCTTGACCCGCGAGCGTCGTGAGGTTCGTCCTCCCTCCAAGTACAACGACTACGCTACGGTAGCCGTTGGGGAGACGGATAAGGAGGGCGCGGCATTTTGCTTCGCAACCAAGGGTGATGATGAACACGCGAAATCTCTCATGGAACCACCCCCTAAAGATTCATCCCGTGCATGCTATGAGCATGTTGGTTTGCACACCTAGTGGGTTGGGTGCAAGGGGGAGTGTTGGAGATTACGTGTGTTGGAAGCAAGGTGGTGGTGGGGCGTTTGTATGCCCCCAACCCACCGAATGTGTGACTTGTGCTCACCTTCGAGTGAGTTGCAGGTTTGCGTGGGGTTGAGGATTGACTTCGGAAGACCCATTCGATTCGGTGCCACATGGCAGCACCAGGAACATTCGAGACCCAAGGAGAATTCGGATCGGTGAAATTCGAGAGTCGAATTTCACCCTTTCAATGTTAGTCGAACATTCGTGAGTGTAGCGGTTCGAGGTTACTTGTGCGATTCGATCTTGTTTGCATGCTATAAATCTGTTTTCTTTGTATTGCATGCCATCATAGTGAAACTCAGAGTTCTTTGTACAAGGTACATTCGAACACAAATTCCAGAGAGCTTCTTTACTTGCATTCAAGAGCACCACCTAGCACGTGAACGCCTATATCTCGGAGAATACTTAGGCGATCGACGTGTTTGACAGCTCGTTGGAAAGCTAAGACAGAGCTCTATCGTTTAGAACAACTCCCAGTTCCTGCAAAGTAGAGGAGAGTCCTCTACAACAGGGGTCTCTTCGACGGAATGGAGAAAAAGCCGGTCAACGAGGACGAGATCGCGGCATGGAAGAAGAAGGACCAAAAGGCGTTCGCAACGTTGATTTCGCGCATCGGCATCAACCTCGTGAGTTCGGTGCGCACGTGCATCAAGCTCGAAGCTTCGGCGCGTGAAGCATGGAAGCGGCTCGAGACGATGCACGTGAACAAGACTCTCCACGGCAAGATCCTAGCCCGAAATGC